ATAAACAACAACAACAATAAAAACCTCTAAAACACTGTTGGTTCCTACGGGTTCTAGGGGAAGTGGGTAGTGGAATGGTGAGAGCAATGACTGGCCAGGACTCCCAGATATCATCATAAAGTTTCTTACTACTTTACATACATAAAGTTTCTTACTACTTCATCATAAAGTTTCACAAGGGAAATTCCTGCTGATTTTCCTTAGTAAGGCACTGATCAGCTCCTCACATCTGACTTCACAATGCAAAGTTCTATCAAACTGATCCCTGACAAAGCAGTTTGTGAGTAATCTGTCTAGAAGACACAGAAGAGATAAAAACTACTCAAGGAAGAAAGTATACTTACTGGGCTAGCTTGATATACTTTCAGAAAGAAGTCTCAGTGAGGAATTGGATATGAAGAAACAGATCTTAGGATCCTAGCACCTAGTCCAAGGTTTCATAACCAGCAGTGGGCATCAGATGAAACTTAATATTTTAAGCAACTACCAAACACTACCCTCAGAAGTTCTGATTCCACAGAGCTAGGATGGGCCTCAGGAATGTATATTTTAAAATGTTACAGATATTCTGATGCCTCATGGCCTTTCTAATCGTCTCCCAAGTTGAGAGCCACTAAGCTAGAGCTAATGATTCACATGCTTTGAAAATGATTAAGTTCCCTCTCCCAAATAGATTAAAGAATTTCGATACTAACATCTAGGCGTAAACATTGAACAAAAGCTGCAATTAGATTACTGCCAATCTTTTCTCCTTCATAAACCCACCTACACAAACTCTTCTTAGAGCCACATATTAAAAAGATCAAAGCACCACCGTATAATCATATTTGGTGGGGGGAAGGGAGAAAGAGAGCACGCTTGAGAGTGAGAAAGGAAGGATTAGATTTACAATCATAAAAACAGAACTAAAAGAAAGTCCCCCTGCCCATCGTTTCCAGCAAAATAATATATAACCCAGACTGGATTAATAGCTATTAACAAGGAAGATTTCAAAACCTCCTTCACTTATTTTTTCAAAATTTAACAAATCTCCAGCACAGGTAATCTTTTTGTATCCCTAACTTAAATCTTGCCTGCTCTGCTTCAGTCCATTTCTGTGCTTTGTTTAAAAAAAAAAAAAAAAAAAACTCAGCTACCTCCATATAAAAATCATTCAGTAACTTTAGAGTGGGAGGGTTAGTTACCAAGAGCATAGACATTTGCTTCTTACAGAAAACAGCCTCAACTGAGATGACAGGCAAGAACTGACAAATGTACAGGATTTAAACTTGAAAGGTATTTATAACTGATAACTTCCATCTATACTTTATCAAGACTCAGCAGATAGATCTGGCACAAAACTTCAAATCACTCTTTTTCAATTTACTCCACTGAAGAGACTTTCCTCCCTTTAAAAACCTTATAAATATCTCAGCTCTCATCTACTCTTTGTAGTAATTTAAATCCCCACCTCTACTGGCTTTCTCATTTAAACTATACATTTAATTTAAATATAAGTTGGTTTTTTTGGGGTTTTTTTTTTTTTTTTTGGTAGCATGGATTATACTTGGGTGTTTTATCACTGAGCCACATCTCCAGCCCTTTTTATTTTATTATTTTTTTATTTTTAAAGTTTTTTTTTGGCTGGACACAATATCTTTATTTATTTCTTCATTCATTTATTTATTAAATATTTATTTTTTAGTTGGACACAATATCTTTATTTATTTTTATGTGGTGTTGAGGATCGAACCCAGGGCCTCGCATGTGCTAGGTGAGCGCTCTACCACTGAGCCACAACCCCAGCCCCTGGCCCTTTTTATTTTGAGACAGCATCTCCCTAAGTTGCTAAGGTCAGCTTTGAATTTGCTATTCTCCTGCCTCAGCTTCTTAAGCCCCTGGAATTACAGGTGAGGGCTTCCTGTTTAGCTTAATCACATTTTAACCATATGTATATGGTTAAAATCAAACCCAGTGCCTCACACATGCTAGGCAAGCGGTCTACCATTGAGCCACAACCCCAGCCCTCTTATATCCTTTCAACTAAATAGGCACATATTAAAAGGCTCAAAGCACCACCATATAATCTCTTCTTTTCACTTACTTGAATCTCTTCTTTTTCATCATTTTATTATTCCTAGTTTTGATTTCTCTTCTAAAAAGGTCACAAATCCTCCTGATCATTTTTTATTCTTCTGTACTTATTAGACATGTCATGTCTAAACTATTCTCATTCATTTACTCCTTTAATATTTACTACATACTGTACATACTATATACACTGTCCTAAACAGTGTGATGTAAAAGAAATAAAGAACATGACCCCTGACCTTAGGAAATGAAGACATAAATAAAAGAAAGAGTGATTGATTTCAAGGTAGTGAGACTAGTCCAAAAAGGCCCTGTGTCTTTGGAAAATATGGAGATGACTCTAAAAGTAATACAGAATTTGATGAAAAGGAGTAAGAAAGCAACCTTAGAACAGTATTATTCAAAGCAGGAGACCACCTAAGGTAAGAGCTGTATAAAGATCCTGACATTGCCCCCTCAAAAGAGGCTTGTCTTTTTGTCTTCAAATTTTATTTCAGAATTAGTTATCCTTGAGCCACAAGTTTTCTGTTACTGATTACCCACAGCCACCATATATTAGAGCAACTCATGAATTTAACAGACTAGGTCCTATGTGGGTTACCACAAAGCAGGCTTTTTAGAATAATCTTAGGCAAAGATCCTTCGCTAAGAGTGTGGGGAGATACCCAAGAGGCATCTTGGGTACTAGATAACCAAAAACTGTTCATACTCTTGGGTGTTAAAGATAGCACTCTTCCTTTGTCATATCATTCATGGGTCATTCAATTTTTCATAAATATTCCCTTCATACTTAGGTTTAGGACAGACAAAACCTTTAAAGCAGTCTGAAGTACTGAATTGATATTAGAAACAGAGATGTTTAATGGTGATCACAGAGATGTCCCCTTTTTTTCAGTTTTCCTGGAAAGCTCTTCTCTTGACTCAGGAGTTACGATTCAAGCAACCCCTCCTCTAAGATGTCTTTCCTACTTCCCCTAAACTGACTTATAGTCTGACCCTGTGATTCCATTAACAACTTACTGCATACTTCTAGAACAGCCCCTATAATTATTTGTTTAAATAGCCACAAGTTCTCTGATGGTAAAGCTAGTGTTTTATTCATCCCTGACTCTATACCTAATAGGACTAAATAAACACTTGTTGACTACATTAATGATGAATGACAGTTTTAAAAAATGGTGATGGTACTATCTGGATTCCAGACCAAAATTGCAGTAAAGTATTCACACTGAAAACTAAACTTCCATTATATATTTCTGCCATATATTCCATTCCTGAAGATTGTTCTAATAGTTCTGATCACTGCCAAGTTACTGGCCATGAATATGAGCATCTGCAGTATTAAGAATGAGCAAAAAGTGTCATATCTAAGACAATTTCTAACTTTGAGGTTCATTCTCCTGCCTCTAGAAAATAGGAACAATGATTATTAAGAGTTCTTTAAAAATCCAAGCATGGTGGTCTGCACCTACAGAGTTCCAGCTACTCAGGAGGCTGAGGCAGGAAAATTGCTTCAGTCCAGAAGTTAGAAACCAGCTTGGACAACAAGCAAGAACCCATTTTTTGTTTGTTTGTTTGTTTGTTTTTGTACCAGAGATTGAACCTAGGGTGCTTAATCACTGAGCCACAACACCATCCTTGTTTATTTTTTATTTTGAGACACAGTCTTGCTAAATTGCTGAGGCTGGATTTTAACTTTCAATCCTCCTATCTCAGCCTCCCAAGCTTCTGGGAATATAGGAATGTACCATCCGACCCTGTGTGAGAACCCATCTTTTAAAAAAACAAACAAAAAAAGGACTTGGAAGGATCACTATCTACACCACCATGGAACGTTGAGGCAAATTTTTATTCACTATATCCCCTGTTGAAATATAAAGAAAAGCTGTTCACCTTCTTATTCAAATCCAATTAAGGTTCTGCTAAAGGACAGGGGTCTGAACTAAGTCCTCCCAGAACCCTGTCATGTTGTACATCAGCACTCTTAACTCATTCACCAGGTTTACTCATCTCTCACAGTCAGGCAAGGCAATAAAATGCTACTGTCTCAAATGACTCTCCCTATAGCAGTCCTGTACCACACAAGCCTATTGTGTTTACAGACTGCTAATAAGACACACAATTTAATCTGATCCTGTGGGAACAAAGACATAGATTCCCTTGAGGGAGTAAATAAATTTAGTCTATTTTTGTATTACCAAAGTTGTGGGGTTTAACAAAGTTGAATAAAGCATAAGGACCAAAACCCAGACAAGTGATGGAATGGAAAAAAGGACTTTGCCTCTGGGAACCACTTGGCTCTTGGCATACAGTGAATGGGATAAGCAATATCAAGGGCAAACTTAAGAGAACTGTTTTTGCTGGCACATATGTGGCTCCTTGCATGTTTTCATTCCTAAGAAGGCCAAGATACTCCAGTTAATTAATTAGGTCTCTTAAAGAAACAAATTTGTTTTGACCCCAGGTAAGAGCAATTACCAGACCAATATTTCAGACAAGGTGCTTAAGATGTTAAGGTATTTCTTTCTGTTACTACAGTCTTACATAAACCCAGCTGTCAATACTGCAGCCACATTAGTCACATAGGGTATGTAGTCCCATTAGCCCTTTCCAAGAAGGGAAACTGAGTCATAGTATATCAACTAGCTTCCCGAAGCAAACACTTAATTTGTAGTGAGATCACAGTTGAACTCACCTTCCTACTATTCACCTCTTTTCATGGATGAATCTCACCACTGCCTACCCACACCGCTCTTTTTCCTCCAACCCAAAACCAAATCACTGCCTGCTTGAGAGGCAGAGGCCTGCATATTTGATCTTTTAGAGACAACAGGAGTGTCTAGCTCTCTTCTTTCCCAAGAAAGAAGGTGAAATAGGAACATGGAGCAAGGAGAAGATAAAGAGATGGAAAGAGGGTGGCTATGACTCACCTTGGAGCTGAGGTCCTCTCGCCTGTTTCCTGCCTTACTCCTGCGTAATTTGATGGATGGGGACCGCAGCAGATTCTTAATCCGGCTGGTAATGGTTGACCCTTCCACCGCCATCATGATGAGGAGCCCGGTGGGACAGTCCCTGGTCCAGTCTTGGGACCTGTCTCAACTGTGGCACTGCCTTCTCACTCCAAACAGCCTTCCAAAATGACCTCTCACTGGCCTGAGATGGCAGAAGCCACCTCAACATCACAGTAGGTGTCTTCTGCCTACCTGTCTGCCACTCTTATCCCTAGGTATTGCCCTCCCCTTTTCCTTCATCCCCACCTTTAAGCCCTGCGTGGTTTCTTACAACGTGGGAAGGAGCTACACGAAAGGGGCGGGGGGGACCCTGAACTGCGAACAGATGCCAGGCCCACGCCTGCGAGAGGCATTTAACTGGAGAATGGGGCAGATTCTAGTAGAACTACTGGAAGGTATGTTCTCCGTTAACGCCGAACTGTTCCCATGGAAACCGCACTGTTCAGAGGAAGCGGCCACTGGGAGGTTCACGGGGGACCGTGCTGGGGGTTGCGAGGACACGGTGTGGCTGGGCTCGTGATGGCCCTGCAACTCGTTCTGCTAAGGGAGCCTCCCTCCCCCACCCCCGACCCTCAGGAGCTCGCTCTCCGCCCTCCACAACCGCCTAGACTTTTCTTTCACCCGCCTCAGAAGCCCCTGCTACTCGTCAGCGCCCCCGCTCGGGCCCAGCCTCACCAGCCCCGGGGCTCGAGGGCTGCCCGGCTCACAGCGCCCTCAGGCATCGCGCTCGGCGATTTCAGCTCCGCTGCGGCCGCGGCAGCAGCAGCTATGGTGGCACGAGCGGCTCAAAACGCGAACTAGCGCTTGGGCCAAGCTAGGGACTGGGAAGGAGGAGCCGACGCAAGGGGGTGCGGTCTGTAGCCAGGAGGTCGTTTCGCGACTGGACAAACCAGGCTTGCGGGGGCGGAGCCAGCGAAAGACCTAGGAAGACAAGGACTCGGGACTGAAGAACTACGGATTCCGCACAGTATAATTGTTGGGTACCGCTCTTAGAAGAAGGTCAACAGAACACGGCTTCAGAATTGAGAGAACCAGGCCTTTTATGGTATTATAAGCCTGGTGCCCCAGAGAACTGCACTTCCCAGAGCCCCAAGACGATAACCACGCCCCCAGAGTGCTAACGTTGGCTTTTGATAGGCCCGAGGGACCGTGGCTGAAACAAACTAGCTCAGAATTACAAGGTTGAGATACAGCCAAAAAACTCGGCTCCCATCCCACCCCAAACGCTAGGATTTAAAGCGGTTCCAATAGTTTCTGATCACGGCCAACCTAGTGCTTGGCCCACGTGTTAAAAGATTCTTTGGAGTAATCCAATTCAAACGCTAACAACAGGGTTTCACCTGGGCAAGCTGATTGGTCGTGATGGAAGAAAGGGGCGGGAGACAGAAACTTCGAATACAGCTTTAGGCGAGCCAGGAGTGAAACCAAGTCAATTAGTTTATGGGATTTGTTTTGTGTCCTGTACTGCTCTCCCCGCAGTTAACCAGGCCTGTGTTATTCCAGATGTTTCCCTCGGTCCTGTCAAGTTTTACTTGTGAATACTACTCCCTCTTCCCCAGGGATACTTGCCGAGGTCACTGTGAAGCCTTCTTGGACTATTTGGTGGTAGTTTTTCCTGCTCATGGAGGTGAGGGGAACACATGGAAATATCACTACGTATTCCTATTTCATAGATAAAAGTTAAGCCTACGTCAGAAAACTTGGACCTGAAGAATAGTAGTACACTGTCTCACCCTATCCAGATCTTTGGCATTCCTGAGGAAGATTATATATTAGCAAGAAAGACGACTAAACAGTGGGTAGACCTGATACAACCAAATGGCAAAGCAGGTGTTGCGTATACTTTGGCCACATATTAAAAACAAGATTCATAAAAGTTCACAGGTTGACATGGACAGGAAAGATGTCACCCCTTATAACATCTCACTGGCAATAGATTGAGTCAGGCCTTCTACCCTTCAACAATGCATTGTAGATCTAATGAAACTAAAATGGGACTTTCCCAAAACTGGAAAAAGGAGGCAAGAGGCATTAGCCTTAATTGTACAAACAGGTGGTTGACTCCAGAAACACCTTGCCAGTCTGTGCTTGGACTTTTCCACAAAGCTAATATAACACTGCTAATAAATGGTGCCACCTGGTGTTTTTTACTTGTGTGCAGCCAACCCTAGCAACTTCCACTTCTATCCATGAAACAAGAAAAAAGTGTGCCCACAGTTTTTTAAATTCTCTCCAGGTCATTTTTGGGTCCACTGACAGCTTTCTCACCTACCCACTCATGGCCAAATAAAGGGTTTATTAAGTGTCATTGGTTATTTCTTATCTAAAGCTACTTCAGTTTAGTTTCAGAGAAAAGGTTCTCTGAATTGTTCTCATTTTAAATTGAAGTTGCACTGGCAAAGCTCCTGCTTTTCTTGTCTGAGATGATCTACTAAGATGATCCTTTTTTAAGATAAAATACAACTGAGAACAGTGTAATGAGAGGCTGGAATCTGGAAACTTCCAAAGCCCAAAATCACATTTTTAATTTTTCACAATTCAAGCCAACCTTTATTGTCCAAGTACCATACCACCTTTTGAGATGCCAATATGGAAATAAGTGCAGGCTGTTCACATGCTTCATGAAATCCTTAGAAAACAACACTCCCAGGGCAGGGGCTGTAGTTCAGTGGCAGAGCGCTTGCCCAGCATGTGCAAGGAACTGGGTTCCATCCTTAGCACCACATAGAAATAAAATAAAGGCATTCTGTCCATCTACACTACAAAAAAAAAAAAAAAAAAAAAAAAAAATCCCAGGTCCAGTATGAATATCAGTGTTACTCCCTTAACTCTCCCCTTAAATACTTGTCATCCCAACTCTCCAAAATGCAGTTGTCTCTTTATATAAAAGTATTTCATTGTCCATACACTATTTCACTATTCATTCTCCTTGTATATGTACTAAATCTGTATGCATGTTTGTCATATTCTAAAATTCTAGATGTCTGGGAATAAATGTTATATAGTTGTCTTGTTTAGCATTATGCTCTTTAGATGCAAGCTGTATATTCACCCTAGGCAAGTAAGGGGCAATTAAATGATTCTGGAAAACTTAACAGGCTAAACATTTGCTAATCAACTCAAATTTATTGAGCACCTTTACATGCAAGGCACTGTGAGACAGCTGAGACCAAAGACTGCAGTTGGAAAGGGGACAGATTTCAAGACAATGCTTCCAATGCTGCTTTCCTATTCAACAAAAATCTCTTCTACCAGCAGTTTACAATGATAAAATTTAATGGTTTAGCCTTAGCACCCTCCACACTCACCTCCATCACTATTAATATTTATGTGCCTTTGTAGAACAGTTCAGTCATTTTTAATATATTACAGTTGTCCCGGTTTAAAAACATATCAAATAATTTCCTTTTATTTCAAATATGTATTTTAACTGTTTTTGTTCGACTGACAGTAAGTCTAACTTCGCTTTAATTTTCCATGCACCAGCCATTCATGCCCATGTAAAATTTATTTTCCTCATAGTACTTTCTCCAAAACCAACATTTTGTGCAAGAAAAGTATTGATTCTTGGTTTATTAGTCATTCTTCATAGAAGTACCTGAAATGTGCTACCTACATGGTGTATAGTTGTTGTGTTTGTTTGTTGTTTGTTAATTCTGGGAGTGAGGGACAAGGGTAATCATTATTTTCTAGACCTGTCTTCAAAGTGCATTTACCTCTCAATTCATCCCACCCCATTCCTTTTCAAATATCTCAATCAGTATAGTTAAGGAAAAAAATATATACTAATAAACACTGTCAAAAATAACACATGGATTGTCTGCCTTTGTCCTATATTCAAAATATTTTCAAGCCAGTTACAGAAAGATCTAGCATCAGGTATTTCATCCATAATTGTGGGAAAAAGCAACTGCATTTATTATAAAATTATACAAAGTAAGTAATCTATATGAAGCTTGTATTACTGAACTTGATCTGTTAGAGACCTCTTAAATAGGAGTAGCTCAACTTCTAAAAAATGCCTTTAATAAAACTTTTTGTAAATTATCAAAGTAGTCATAGTATCCTGCTTGCCTCAAGAATACTTCAGTAAGTATTAGCTACTAAGATTGTTGTTTTATATCCTGTTATTTCCCAAGGTAACAAACTGCCTTGCACAAAGTATTAGGCTAGCCTTTCTTCACTGCAGAATGACTTCTGAAACAAATATTTGCCATCAGGTTGTTCAAAATTTTGAAGCCTCCATGTATGACATGCTACAAGGATTAGAATAATAAACCTCCCCCAAATGGCATGTCAAAAACTTTGCAAACAGGAAGAAATTCCCATAAAAAACTACTTCGAAGATACCTGCTCTTAAATAGGTCTCAGGGCATTAAGAATTATATACTCCAACTCGGCACAAACCTCCCAACACCAAGTCCTGCTTTCATTAGTACAACTAATTTATTTCAGGCTTACACATCCTGCCCTTTAATTGCCAAACAACTTCTATTCTTGTTTCTAAAAAAATAGTCACTTTCAAAAGCAGAAAAGGAAAGATATATATATATATATATATTTAATATATAAAAGAAAATGCTAAATCTGACATAATTATATTCTTAAAAACATTCCATTTATTTACAGTTGTATAAAAAGGCGAATTATTGGTCTACTGAGATCATGCTTCTTATAAGAGTTAGAGTGACAGCTCACTGTCTTCCAGGTTCCTCAACTCTTCTCTCTCAACTTCATCTTTCATAATCACACATGTAATTTTCATAGATCAGTTTTTCCTAGGGTAAGGTGAAAGGGTAAGCATTTTTGGAGATTTCAGATTGCTGCCCAAACTGCAGGTTTGTTCTGAAGACTGAGCTCTCCTCAAATTAGCTCTGTATTAAGAACACTGTATCTTGGCGCTTGTGGGGATTGTAATGACATCTACAGTCTTCTCTGAACACAGGGAATTATCCCTCATTTCTGTCTTTTTCACCTCATATAAGCACAGCCAAATATCCTTTAATCAGGAACTGACCTTGGCCCATCTGCCTATTTTCTTCTAAGGAAGGGAAAGTGTTCAAAAGCTTAAATGGTCCTTCTTTTCCTGAGGATTACTCACTCCCTTGCTTGCTCCTTGGCTGACCCTCAAAAGCCACTGAACAAGAGCCTTGGGAAGTCAGGAGGAAATGTGGGGATGAGACAACGAAATAATGGGAAACTGCTATACCCAGGCTAAAGAACTGGCATCTCCAAGAACAATTTTTAGGAAGGAAGACAGGGGCTGGACTCCTTGGCTAAGGCATTGGATGATATCTGTTGGGTAAAGAGTAGAAGAAATAATGAGGAGCATTCTTTTAACTACTTCAAGCTTCTTCAGCAATGAGTGAAGGTTAAGTGCCGATAAGCAGGTCTAGAAAGGCAAGCAGCACAAAACCAACAAAGAATTTACCCCAGGGCACTTTGCAGAGTAAATTTTCCCATCCTTTTCAATCTGTTGATTACCAGAGTTAATAGAAAAGGAATCACTATGGAAGTAATAATTCACTGGCTAGATCCATTCCAAAGTTGGTCTCATAACCTAGGTCTGAATAATGCTGAGTGGGACTTGGGATAAAGAAGGCAGGGGATACAGAAGAAACAGCATAACCCAGGCACAGCCCAGGCACTGGAAGCTCTTGTGTTAGTGTTTTACAACACAAGCAAATCCTGTCAATGAAGACAGAACAGGGGTTACATTCCGAAATATAATCATTTAAGAAAGGCAAAATGCAGCAGCTAAATCCCAGTCTATACATTTTCAGAATAGTGATTCTTGCCCCCAGGAGTTTCCAAGAGACCCCTCAAGTGCACCATGATTATTTACAAACTAGATAGGAAACATTTCTATACTCAATACAAATCTCATCTTCTAGGTTGAAAACTTCAGCCTTTGAGAAATCTATGAAAACAACTATACAAAAATATAAATATCTTTATCTTTACAGGCTGTCAGTTCATACCCTGACAGCAAATGAGTGAAAAAGCTCTACAGATCATTGAATCCATGGTAGCAGATAAAAAATATATCTTGTGATTCAAATACTGCCTTATTTCCCTGGTAAAGAGTGCCTACTGTGACTTGACTTTTCTTTACATCATGTGCAGGTAACAGTGAATGAAACCTTCAAGCACCAGGAGGCTAATTTAGGAAATATCCAGCCCCATTTTTTTTTTCTTTTGTTTTCTTTTTTTTTTGTTTGTTTTTTGTTTGTGTAATTTTGGCTACTGTCTCTGGTCTGGACAGAGAATGCTTTTCACATTAGCTGTCTAGAGTGATATGATTTGTGAATGGGGAAGGGCTCCCTCCATGTCTACCTCCAAAATACATATTCCAGAAATCCCTGGCACTATGAAATAATTTTTTTAATACCCTCAAAGACAATAAGGGAGCACTTTAACATCTCAAAATAATTACCTTAATAGTAAAAGTTAAATTCATCCCTACTTTACCAGAAGGCTTAAAATTTGTTAATTCTGATTGAAAAGGTGAGGGAATGAAAGCTAGTTGGGATATGAAAGAAACGATTTTGCTGAGTCACATAAAATCCTTCACTTTGGTATTTCATGGTACCTATCTTTCCCTATTATTAAAAGGCCAACTAAAAACTCTCTTCTGAATCCCTTTGCACAAGTGCATCACATTCCTTAGATTTTAGACAATCTAACTGCTATCAACTACAGTTCAGTCCACAGCAATTCCAAAGTCTCAAGCAGCCTTTTCTCTCTGGGGAGAGAACTAGGTACCACTATGGAGCCAGTCTTGTTATCAATGCCTTGGGTAAGAGGGGCACCTCGTGTTCAATAATGGATCACATTTTAGGATGAGGGGACCCAGCACCACAAGTGAGGTAACACATTTTAACATGATCAGAATTTCATAGTATTTCTTATACCAGGGCCAGCACCCCTACCCCCTTTCTCCATTATTATCCACCATATATACCATCACAGCCAATCAAGGAGCATAGTTCCATGACACAAATAAACAGATGTCTGCAGAGAAAGGAGTTGAGATTCAATTTCCCCTCACAGCCTGAGGACAAAAAGTTCATTTCCCTGCAGAACCTGGTGAGACTCCAGGATTGCCCAATTTAGCCACAATAGGTGCCAATGTAGGCATCACCTTGCTATCCCGGCCTTCCTGATCATTCCCTGTTAAGTTCATTTTGTGTCCAAATGACCCAACTTTGGCAGCTACAGGTGCCAAACAAGGCATCACCTTCAGACTCTGACCATCTGCATCACTAGGAGGATTAGCTACTTTTAAACCTAAAGGTGCCAACTTTGGCATAGGCCTCCACAAAGTATCTGTGTTGCTGTTCTCTAGACCAGTCTTCATGTGTAGGATGGGCGGTGAGGACACACTTTCAGGCTCTGTAGGGAGGCCAGATGTACTCTTCCCTCCATCACTAGATTTCCTGTGGGAAGGAAGGGAATCCTTTATCTCGGAGTCAATAACAATCTTAAGGACATCTGGCTCAGAAGCTGTTTCCACAAGTTGTTTTTCATTCTCAGAAAAGTCATCATCTTCCAAGTGCAAGAGGAGGGGGCTGATGGAGTCACTCTCCCTTTGAATATCATCAGACAATTCTTTCAAGTCTGTTCCCAAGTGGCCAACCTGGAAAGTTGCTCTGTTCCGGGGAGGCAGCTTAGTGATAAAAGCCTGACGAGCATCCTCTGAGAACTCCGTATCCATAGAGCTAGGCAGTTCAGCCAGGCTAACAGAGTCATCATTTAGTTGCTGATTAAGAAAGGCAATCTCATTGAGCAGTGAAGTCAGTGTCTCATCAGTATCATCCTCATCTTCCATGCTAGTTAGCAGTTCACTGGGATCAAGAGCTGCTTCCTCAATGGCTGATGCTACTTTCCTCAGTTCCATTTCTATGCTTGAGTCTTTGAGATCTTTCATCTTTAATTTATGAAATGGAGATTCCTTAGACT